TTTGCAAATTCTCGCCTCGCTCCTGTGACCACCCCAGCCCACTCATGAGATGGCTTGTACATACCTGATCGTCTACGCCTTGAACTAGTTTTCGGTGTCATCGAGGACACTGTATTTCAGGTCGCATTTTTCTCCCTTTTTTTTCGGGAGGTCCTTATCCTTGTCCTTCTCCTTTCGCCTTGATCACGAGGATTTCTCGAGGATGCCTAGATACCTCCCCCACCCTCCCCGCGGCCTCGACGCCGGGGCGCCGCCCTTGGTCGGGCGCCCTGACGCCCCGCGATGGGATGTCTTCCGATAGGATAAAGTCGCGCAACGACCTCGACAACGATGCGCTGGGAGGGGATAGGTAGGAGAGGGGGGGGGGGATCCTCGCGGAGAAAGAGAAAGCCGGAGCCGGGCCGGGCCGGAGTCGCAGCAGCAGAGCTCAGCGCTATTTGCAAACGCTTCATTTACCCGACGAAAACGTCGCCGTCTCCTCTACTGGCTCAGGAAAACGGAACGGAGTGACGCTGTTAAAGTCTGCAAAAGTCTGACGCTCCTCCTCTGCCCCCCTCCCCCCCTCTCCCTCCTCATTCCCCTTCCATACTGCACCGCGCCTGCGCTGTCCTCCCGCGGTGGTGGTTTCTCAATCTCCGCGCCGAAACGACATCATCCTTCCTGTCGCGTTTTTTTTTTTTTTTCGTAAATTTCATAGTATCAGTCAGTAGCATTACATTGTCTCTCCGTCTCTCTCCCGCTCGCAGGCGCTGCCCATCGAGAGGTGCCCCCAGTTCAGGGACCAGCCCCCGGGCAGCACGGCCACCTACAACGGCAAGTGCTACATCTTCTACTCGCGCCAGCCGCTCAACTTCCGGGACGCGCTCGCCTTCTGCCGCGCGCGCGGCGGCGACCTGGTCTCCGAGAGCAACCCGGCCCTGCAGGGCTTCATCAGCTGGGAGTTGTGGCGGCGGCACAGGTGAGTCCACGAGCTCAACTGGAAGGGAAATATGCAACTAAAGCAATTAAAGTTTTTCAGAAAAGTGCATCAAGGTTTAGTAAAGTTGAAAGTAAATGGCGAAGCTAAAGTAGAGTTTGCAATCGGTCAGGCAAGACCAGGCAAGCTTACCCGATACCCGATTTCCTTCTGTCTCTCTCACTCCCATCTGACGTGACATTAGAGGGAGAGAGACAGAAGACAGTCAAGTAAGCTCGCCTGGCCGTGCCCGACCGATTGCAAACTAAGCTAAAGCCCGCAGTGGGTGTAGTGTTAAGTGAGTGACCTTGCTGACCTTTCATATCTTGCCGCCCCGCAGAAGCGACACGGCCAGCCAGTACTGGATGGGTGCGGTCCGAGACCCCAAGGACCGCAACAACTGGAAGTGGATCAACGGCGGCGACGTGGCGGTGTCGTTCTGGAACCTGCCCGGCGGCGACGAGGACTGCGCGCGGTACGACGGCTCCAAGGGCTGGCTCTGGTCAGACACCAACTGCAAGGCCAGCATCAACTACATCTGCCAGCACCGTGAGTACACAACACAACTAGTCGCGAGCAGTCTGACGGAGTGGTGCTGAGCCCGACGTGGTCCTCCCCTACAGAGCCCAAGGCGTGTGGCAAGCCCGAGCAGCCACCCAACTCCACCATGGTGGCCAGCAGCTTCAACGTGGGCGCCACCATCGAGTACTCGTGCGACGAGGGCCACCTGCTGGTGGGGCCGGCCACCAGGACGTGCCTGCCCACCGGCTTCTACGACGAGTTCCCGCCCGTGTGCAAGAGTGAGTAATAGAGATTCAAAAGCCGAAAAAAACAACAACGGGAACATAAGTTGCGGAAAAAATAACAATTCTATTTCTTTCAAATTTTCACGAAAAAAATTGGGGGAAAAACGTTTTTATGCGGAAAATTTAAATCTCTATTGAGTAGCGTGGCACTGGTGGGTGCGAAGCTTGCGCACGCCACCCACCCCCTTGAAGGAGGACAGGATGACGGTGGTGCGGTTTTGGCTGTTTGCAGGCATCCAGTGCGGCTTCCCCGCCGACATCTCCCACGGCTCCTACCGCCTGCTCAACGGCACCGTCTCCTACCTGTCGCGCGTGCTCTACTCGTGCCAGGACGGCTTCCGCATGCTGGGCCGAGCCCTCCTCACCTGCGACATCGACGAGCGGTGGAACGGGCCGCCGCCCAAGTGCCAGGGTGAGTGCGCAAAACCACTGGGGATCCAAATATCATGAGGTCCCCAAAAAAAGGGATCGGAATGTTATAAGCTCCCGAAAGGATGAGTAGTGGCCCCAAAATGGGGGATTCAAATATTTTAGGGTCCTGAAAGGATGGGTAGAATTATTGAAGTTGGTAGGGGCCCCATGATATTTGGCCCCCGGGTCGCAAATATCATGGGTATTCTATAAACTCCAATAAACATCCTCATCCTTTTGAGAGCCCGCCATATTTGGAGCCATGCCCTACAGTCACGGCGACTCCTCCAGCGCCTCCAGCCCAGCAGCCTCTCTAATGCCCATGTCGCCTCTGTTTCCGCAGCCATCGAGTGCGAGGAGCCGACGGCCATCCCCAACGGTCGCGCCGTCCTCAAGACGAACTCGACGCGCGTGGGCTCGGTCGTGGAGTACGGCTGCAGCACGCGCGGCTACAAGCTGCTCGGCCCCAAGACCATCACCTGTCTGCCCACCGGCCAGTGGAGCCAGGACCCGCCCGTCTGCAAAGGTGAGTGGAGCGGGGCCGCCCCGCGCCCCACGACGAGTGCCGACGAGGACGTGCAGGTGACAGTGGTCGTACCTTTTGCAGAGGACGTGAAGCCCGCCCCGGTCGGACCTAGCGGCAAGTTGCCCGCCAGGACGTCCCCCGCCACCCCGAGGACGCCGCCGTCCACCACAGCCACGCACGCGCCCGCGCCGCCGCCGCCCACGAGGCCCGCCACCGCGCCGCCCCCGCCCTTCCTCCGGCCGCGGCCGGTGCCCTTCAGCCCGCCGCCCCCCAAGCCCGCCGCCGCCCCCAAGCCCCCGCAGCCCGAGGAGGAAGAGGAGGAGGAGGTGGAGGAGGAGGTGCTGGAGGAGGAGGTGAACGAGCTGCAGGAGCTGGGTAGGCCCGCGGGCTCGGACAGCCAGGCGAGTGGGGCGGCCCACGTCCCCAGGATCGTCGTGGCCTCCAACCAGCCCCCGCAGCCCAGCGACACCCCTGAGGGCTCCAACTCCAGGGCGGGCCACTCTCCAGGCGCAGACCTGCCTGGCGCCGTAGACGCCGAAAAGCGGGACACGCTCGGAGCAAAGTTAAATCTAGGTTAGTCCCGCTTGAATCTGAAGCTTAATGCTGCTTTTATTTTTGCAGCAATGCTCATTTTATGTGTAACATATTAAATTTTTCTGTAGGTGCCATCATTGCTCTCGGAGTGTTTGGAGGGTTTGTGTTCCTAGCAGCTATGATCACCACAATCGTCATACTCATCAGAAGGTATGTTGGCACCTTGCTTTGCATGTCCGTCGTTCACAAAACCGAGACTCTCCTCTGACTATAAAAAGACTAGACAGGAGGGAAAGAACTGATATTGAACTGTCCAACTTGTATGTGGTCCTTCTAAAGGATTCTGGAAAAGCCCATAACTATGCCCTATTTAAGTAGGTCTTTACTTTTCTTTCGTAAACAAAATGCTTACTATATACAATTTGTTGACAGGGATTTTCCTTCCTCACCCTATTCTTCTTTTTTGCTTTTGTTATCCCCAAAAGGAATAATTGCCCTTCTTGTATTTCTGTCCTATTACCCCACCAGGCCATGAATTTTGAGTAACTAAACTGCAGTGTGTATTTTGTAGCCGTAGTCTGCAGCCCCACAGTTTTCAATTCACCATAATCACCTTTCACCTTAGAGATCCACCTCTCAAAGTCACTCGCTCTTCAGTTACTCAAAGCCAATCTTTAATGGCAAAGTTACGAGTTAGTTACAGAGCAGCCTTTTTGTCCAATCCGAGCTAATGCTTACAAAGACTTTTAAACCTTCTTTCTTTTGTCTCACATTTCCTTCTCACAATTTCTCTGTCTTACTTACTGCCCCCTCTCTTTCTATCCTATCTCTCTCTCTCCCATTCATTTCAATCACTTCCTGTACCCTTTGCTGCAGTTCTTGGCAATCACTGGGACTAATACCAAGATTCATTCCAGTTTCTGTGGCTGTCACTTTTCTGAGCCTTGGCGCCTCAGTTCTAAAATCTGATGAAAGACAAATCCTGACAAACTTTAAAAATCATAAAGGAATACCAAGTTTTATCAATCAGTTGGACTAAAAATGTTTTTTTTTCTTCTGAAACATCTTTAAAACGAATGTGAAACATCTTTAGAAACTTTTTTGAACTAATAATTCCATATCAGGATTTTTTAAATTGAATTCTTTGTGATAAATTTCATATTGTCAACTTTGAGGCGACGCTCAGCGCTGCGGATTAGCGACGGCCGCTTCTTCGTTTTATTTTTTCACTAACACTTGTGTTTTGTTTTGGTTCTCCCCCGCCCGCCCCGCCCCTGTCCCTAGCGGTAGGAAGCGCAAGCTGCCCCCCGCGCGCAGCATGCCCTCGCGCTGGTACACGCTGCTGGCGCTGCCCTTCCCCGACCAGCAGGTCGGGCGGAGGGAGTTCACCAGCAAGTACCACAGTCGGGCCGGCTATTTCTCGAACCCGCTCTGACGGGACGGAGTATGGAGTAGGCAAACACAGTATACCATGTGAGTGAGTGAGAGAGAGAGAGAGAGGGCCAACCCCCAACAAAAAAAAACACCCCCTGCTGCTCACCATACCGCCTTCACCGCACGACCCCTCACCGCACCGTGCTGGCCTGCTCGCCCCTCACCGCACGTCGCAGTCTTGTGGAACGTCAACACCCTGCATCGCCTGTTCTACACGCCCCTCCCCCGTAGCCCTCCTCCCCCGATTGCGAAACGCCTCTTGAATAGTTTACCGTCTTTATTTTGGGAGTCCTAGTCATCTAGGCGAAGTAGTTGAGATGTCATGTGTAAATTCTGAAGATTTTCTGTTAAAAACTGGAGAATTTCTCGGCTTGAAAAGTTGCCGACGTCCTTTTCCCGCCCCTTATAAATTTACATCTCTAGTCCAGACGCAGTCAGTATGCACCGTGCCCTGTTGCGGTAGAGCTTGTCGGCTGGCCTTGTAACGGAGGATGCATACAATCAGGCAGGCGCGGCAAATGGACTGTGAAATTCGGTCATCCTCAGACTGGGCTCGGCTGGGCGGCGCGCCGGGCCGATCGGTCGCAAGTGGAGCGCGCTGTGCTGGGCGCCTGCTCGGGAAAAGGCCGCGACGGCGCCCATAGTGCCGTGTTGTTGTGTGAATCGTAGTTACCCTCCGTATTCCATATTCCAGTTCCAGTCTTCGCAATGTTACCGGTAGGTTAAGTTAGTGTAGCAGCCTCAGCCCCCCCCCCCCTCCTCCTTTCCCGGCCCAACCACTGCAGTCACCTCAGCCCGCTCCTGGCCCCGGCACGGCGGCCGGCCAGCACCGAGCACGGGGCAAGTAAGCCATCAGACACACCGAGCATTGTGGGCATGGACTGGGGCTGGACCCACACTAACGGCTGTACATTACACGAGCATGAAGTATGGATGCCTCTCCCACGAAGTAGCCATCTTCTTGTATATATATACAGAGAATCAAAAAAATATAAGATACGTAACCTTCCCCCTGTCCCGCCGCCTATGTTTCCAGAAAATTCCACTGACCCGTTTTGCAGGAGTGATGTTACACGATGTGAAAGCGAACTGACACCCCTCCGTTGCACAAACAGGTCGCGCGAGTACGCCACTTACCCCTTCACTCCGAACCCGAAGCACAGCGGCGCCGGGGGCCCCGCCTGCACCCTGGGCTGCACGCCCAGCCCCCGCTGGCGCTAGGCCGGCGGGAGCCTGAGGTGGGAGCCCCGAGACAAAAGTCTGGCCGGTAAATTCCCCCTGCACATGCCTGGATTTTGGACTAGTAGCATTTACATGTTGTCGAGGTTGTAAGTAGGCCTCTCAAATACCCGGACCGCCGGGTACCCGGGTACGGACCTAGTCCGACGGGTAGTGACGGGTATCCGGATATCCGCCCGCTTCACCCGCTACTACTCGCAGACACGGTTCCTACCCGAGCGGGTGGGTATTCGGGTTAGCCGGTTCTCCGGGTAAAAGTGAGAGCCCTAGTTGTAAGACAACCCCCTGGGAGCATTCCTTACCTTTTTATAAAATGTTATTGGCTGTAGTTTTGGTTGCCTGTAAAGTGTAGTATAATGATTCCCGGCATGAGTATTAGCATCCAGCCCACTTTTGTGAATGGTTACTTTTGTTACAGCATGCTGTTGTGTTTGTTAAACGTTCTTTTCTGGTCTGGATGTTTTTTTGGTTGTCGTTGTTTGTCTGCTGCACGAGTCCAGATGGATTGACCTGTACAACCGCATAGGGAATTGTTGCACTGCTGAATGTTCTATTCAAATTCGCCCCCCCCCCCCCTGACTCGTCGTTGTCTTTTAATTTCCGGAGTCTAGGGGGATATGGCGGGATATGGGGAACGTGTGCTTGATAAGTCCCACGTGGGCACATGGTGGTGATGCCATGCTAGGATCTCTCTGGGAGTCAACATCGTGTTAATGTGGGGGAACAAGATCTGGAAGCATACTGGGTAGGCAACCAGGGGTTTCCAGGGACAGCCGAGTATTGCGGGCTGGCCTATGCCGCCTCTCGCAGGCGCGCCGAACACATCTGCCACTGTGAATAAGGCCCTGCATGCTTCATATGGCACTCGCGG